TCCCCTACCAGCCACTGATGGAGCGGCATTGCCTGGGCAGTGGGACCAGTGAGACTCTGTACCCCAGAAGGGGAAACCATTCAGTGATCTGGCTGGAGGCTGAGTCACGAAGAGGAAGCTGCAGCTCTTGGAGCGAGAGATGAGGCTGCAGAGTGAGAGAGAGACAACGGGGGAGAGACGGCAAGGGGAGGGGTTGGCCCTGGAAGAGAGCTAATCCCCAGAACAGCCAGGAGGAGGCACCACCTGCGGTGAATACAGCAACCTGGGACAACATCCCACAATGACATTTGCCTTTTTCACAAGAGCATCACACTGCCGAGTCCTTCAATGTGTGATCCACTGGAACCTCCGGATCTTTTTCTGCAGTCCTGCTGTCTAGCCAGTTATTCCCCATTTCCTAGTTCTACATTTGATTTTTCCTTCCAAAGTGCAGCACTTTGTCTTTATTGAATGTCCCCTTCAATCGATTTTAATCCTTCCTCCCTCCGCCCTGTGTCTCTTGTGTCTATTTAGACTGTAAACGCCCTGCGACAGGGACTGTCTCTTTCTGTGTGTCTGTGCAGCACCCAGCATGTTGGGCCCTGGTTTTGCCTTGAGCCTCTAGGCACTGCCATAGTACTACTGACAATAGCACATTATAAACTCCTTAGAGCAGGGAATGTCTCTTCCATCATATCTCTTGCCACGCCCAGCACACTGACAGAGCTCACTGCATAATAAGAAACAATTAACAAACAGCTCATTGAACAGTCATCAGATGGCCCTGACTTTCCATCCCTAACCACCTAGGTGGAGTTTGGAGTCTATGACCTAGAATGACAGACCCATTCTCCATCCCCATCTCCTGAGGTCTCCATTCCACCAGCCACACTACAAATCAATACCCTGTTTGTAGGTAAATGACTCTTTTCTCAGGCTGCTCTATACTGGAGTCTAGTTAAAACAACAGCCCCAAGATTAGATTTAACGGAGAGAGATTGGGAACCAGTCCCACACTCTGCACTGCTGGACCATGGGGAGCCAGGTCTCATGTCCAAAATCCCTTCCCTGCACTGGGAAGCAAAAGGGAGAGTGAGAAGGAGACACCTACCTGCTCAAGGTGCTTTTGATGTCCTAGAGGAGAAAGATAAAAGGAAATTCAGTCCCATATCTCATAGTAAGGATCCCTCCTGCTCTGCAGGGAACTCGCTTTGTCTTCACAGTTTGAGGTTCAAAGAGAAATTATTTGTTATTCATTAATGCAAACAAAACATTAAATGTGTTGCCTGTGCGCCTTTGGAGAAGTGTTCTGACTGCAGGATCTGGGCCCAGGAAGTTTGTATAAGGAGGCACACAGGCTCTTTGTGTAACAACATTTCGATAACCACCCGGCACATGGAATCAGAGAGCTCAGTCTTGTGCTGTGCTGAACAAGGATCTTCCGAACACTCACAGGTGTGGGGAAGATCCCATCCTGCAGACTCCAGTGGGTCCAGAGGGAGGGATGCCCCCATGCTGTGCTGCCCACATGCTGTAAACTCTCTCCCCACTCGCCCACAAGCACTCTGAAGGCCCGTCCTGTGGGCTTCTTGACACCCAGAGGGAGGTGGGGCTGGGTGAGAACAATGGGTGTGGGGTACAGAGTAACACAGGGCCATTCACCAACCTAAGCCCTAGGATCAATGCAGGAAACCTTAGGAGTGAAGAATGCTGCCCACAGCAGATACTGGCTGCAACAGAGAATCTGACCCTAGACATCAGCTAGAGATGTCCAGGATGCTACGTTTTATTTCTCGCCTTTTTTTTAAATTTCCTAGTTAGAGGCATTTTTTGAAAAATAAAATCATTAGAAGGTTTTTGCAATTCTAACGACTACTTACACTTTCAGGCTACCATAAGTAACGAACAGCTTCCCTATCTAACTGCAGTTCTGGCAGAGAAAATCACCACAGCCTCAGACCTCATGTATCAATTTTAAGGCCACTATTTTCCCTTTTTGGGGTGTGTAGGAAGAGTGGCAAAATCAGGCTTTAAAGTGAAACTCAACTTCAATCTTACCTATTTCCATAATTAAAGACTGGTTCCATCTTTAATCTTTTGGAGTTGGCGTTTGGAACACAGGAAATGCCAGACTAGCCGTGACTTGAGTCCATCTGGTCAGTATTCTGTCTCCAAAGGTGGACAGTGCCAGATGCTTTAGAGGAAGGTGTAAGATAATCTGCCCCCCACATTCTCATCCTGCTCTCTAATAGTTAGTGACTGGCTGAAGCAATGAAGCATGAGGTTTAATATCACTCTGCATATTCCTGCCATTCATATAAATATCCGATCACTTTTGAGATTTGCTAAATGCTTGGTCTCAGCAACATCCAGTGGCAATGAGTTCCACAGTCTAATTACGTGATGTGTGAAAAAGCATTTCTTGGATCAGTTTTGAATTTGTCACCTTCTAATTTGATTGAATGTCTCTTTGTTCTTGCATTATGAGACAGGGAGAACAGAATTCAGAGTTTGCCATTTTTGGAGGAGTCTTCTCCCACTAGAATTGAAACGCAGAATTTTTTTCATTTAGGACTTGATCCTATGCCCGTTGTACTCAAGAAGTATATTTCCATTGACTTTAATGGGTATTTTATCAAGCCCTTAAGGAAAAATAATGTATATTTTAGCAATACTGTATGTTCTGACCTTTCACTCTGTGATGCTCTGTACCTCGGGGGAACACCCTGCACCCCCATGTTCATCCTTATAATATGATTGTGTCATATCCAATGCAATGTTTGTCATGTCCAGTGTCTTCGGAAGGCTCATGATGCACTGAGCATTGTTGTTATAGTAATGTTATAGGTTGTAATTTCATGTATATAGTTATGGGGCTGAAAATGTGTCCTTATGGCTTAAAACATGCCCAGGCAAAACTCTCCAGGAGCAGAGGGGCAGTTCACACCTCATCAGGTCATGTATGGGACAAACCCAACCCAGCCTCACAGGAACAAAGGACACTGGCCTAGGCAGAAACAAAGGATCTGTTGGACTTTCAAGTGAGTCACCTCCCTTTCCTTGGTCAGTTTGGGACTACGATGAGTTAATGCTCACCATTGGGGGGCAAATCCAAGAGGGAAGAAAGAATATGATAAAAGGGAGAGACGTTTGCCATGCTCTTCCTCTCTCTTCCACTTCCATCTACAGACATCACCACCAAGCGACTGAAGCTCTCATCAAGGGGGAGAGCCTGGCTGAAGGGCAACCAGGCAGCCTGTGGTGAGAAGCATCTAAGTTTGTAAGGGCACTGAAAGTGTTAAGATCAGCTTAAAATGCACTTTGCTTTTATTTCATTTGACCAAATCTGACTTCTTTTGCTTTGACTTATAATCACTTAAAATCTATCCTTTGCAGTTAATAAATCTGTTTGTTTATTCTCCCTGAAGCAGTGCGTTTGGTTTGAAGCATGTCAGAGACTCCCCTTGGTATAACAAGCCTGGTACATATTGTGACAGGGTCAGGCCAGATGGATACAGGAGAGAAGGCAGATATATTAGTCCCAGATTAAGTAGATCCTTTTTCCCTGGGTAAGGTAACTGGGGCAGTTCCAGAATAAGCAGGAACTTGCTGGAACCAATTAAGGCAGGCAGGCCTTAAACCTGAGTTTAAAAAGGACCTCACTTCAGTTTGTAGCGTGCATGTGAGGAGCTGGGAGCAAGAGGCACAAGGAGCTGAGAGAGAGAAGACATATTGCTGGAGGATTGAGGAGTACAAGCCTTATCAGACACCAGGAGAAAGATCCTGTTGTGAGGATAAAGAAGGTGTTGGGAGGAGACCATGGGGAAGTAGCCCAGGGAGTTGTAGCCATCGCGCAGCTGTACCAGGAGGCACTCTAGACAGCTGCAGTCCACAGGGCCCTGGGCTGGAACCCGGAGTAGAGGGCGGGACCGGGTTCCCCCCAAACCTCCCAACTCCTGATCAGACACAGGAGGAATTGACCTGGACTGTGGGTTCTACCAGAGGGGAAGGTCTCTGGGCTGTTCCCTGACCCACATGGTGAATCTCTGAGGCGAGGAAAATCTGCCAATAAGCGCAGGACCCACGAAGATAGAGGAGGAACTTCGTCACAATACCAATTTCTTTGTTAAATTGATGAACTCATATAAGCTTGCAGTGCCCAGGGAGCATAACTGGACACTGCAAGATGGACGTTCCTAGGGTTGTGTCTGGGAACGGAGATATTGGCTAGTGTCATTTGGTTACACAATCCAAGCAGCGGCTGGCCAAAAGTGCTCACTCACGTAGCTGGGAGCAGCTTACATGCTACAGGCTGTGCGGGAACAGCCCAGGAGTGGGGTTCTCACAGCAGAGCAGGGCAAGGCTGGCTCTCCGAGTCGAGGATTGGAGTGACCTAGCAGATCACTGGTCCAGATAACACCAGGGGAATGTCACACACTCCTACACTCCAAAAGTGAAGGGTTTCTTGCCCTATGAAAGGTTCTGGGGTGTTTCTAACACTGTCTCACCTGCAGGAATTCACTTGCCGGCAGCTGGCACTTCTGCTCCATCTCACTGATCAGGGAACTGAAAGAGGATAGTTCCTCAGATAGTTTGGCAACATACTCAGCCCTCCTCTTTTCAATTTCCTGATTCAGCTCTTCCAACTGGGCCAGCAGGAGTCGCTCTTGTTCCTCCAAAAACTGGCGCAGTTGCTGAAATTCAGCCACAATCTTCTGCCTCTCAGTTTCCAGCTGTTTCTGAAATGAAGAGATACAAACAGAGAAAGCACAAGTCAAGGACAGGAACATAGAGTGAGTTATGGGACATTTTGTAAAGCCTTATGTATGCACGTGGGAGCATGTCATTGCAACCCCGTAGAATTTAACTCCTGATATTTTATGGAGAACAAACGCTATGCTCAGTAGACAGATGATTTTCCAATGAATTCTGAAGACTCCTAATGGGTGTTTAGAATATGAATGTATCTTGCATTATTAGGATATTCTGTTATCAGTGGCGTCTAGAAAACAAGAACCTTCAAACAACAGGAAGGACAGCAGGTGCGGGATCCAGAACTGGACAGGCCAGAGTTACGTCTGGGGAGCAAACAGTAGAACCCAAACTCAGAAGTCCTTGACTTGAATTGGGAAACAGAGACTCTCCACAAAACACACCTAGATGAATAGGGCCATGTTTCTAAAACAGGCTTTAAAATTAGAGCACCAACAATTGCTCTGATGAGTTTTGAATGCACAGGTTAGGATACAAACATTTTGTCACATCATAAATCTCCAATTTTATCCACAGAGGGATTCTGAGCACAAATTGGGTGGCTGGCAAGACACCTTTTTGCAGGTTCAAATCTGAGTTTGCAGGGCACTTAGAAACGTGTGCATGTGAACTGGACACAAGCCCACCAATTCATGCTCTTTCTGGAGCACTCTAGCTCCTGATACCCCAGGAGCAAGAAACTTACATCATATTTAGAACCCAGATCTTCATGGCAACGTCTAGCAGCGATATCACTAGGGCCGGTTCCAAAGCTCACCAGAATCAATAGGAGTCTTTCCAATGACTTCAGTAGGGTTTGGTCAGGTGTTAAGTGACCAGCCTTCCCTGGGGCAGCAGATTTCTCTAGTGGCTGCCCGCGCTATTCTGTTGTGGTTATTGTTCGAGGGCTTTCCCTTAGCCCCGCCCCTGGTTCTTGTCACGCAGACAGAAAGCAGGAGACCAAAAGTCTGAAGCGCAGGCAATGCGATGTTTGCTGGGGTTAGTTCCAAACAAGCATGTCCATAACTCTACAGGCCAGCAGAGACTTTACCCCACGTCTCCCTTCCCAGTTCTGAGCCTTGCCTGTGTCCCCGTTCCCCATTTCCTCCTTCTCAGCAGGTCCAAATATACCTGCAGTGCGCGCCCCTAGTCACATCCCTTACAACTTATGGTCCTGTTCCGTTCTGGAGGGTCGTGAGTCTGGGGTCTTCATCCCATCTCTTCTGTACCCCAGGGGAGGGGTGAGGAGTAAGGTTGTGTCCTGGCCAAGGCCAGGCATTTCTTTGGTTTTTAGTGGTTCTTATTCCTCCCCCGCAATTCCCCTTTGCCCCTCCTAACTGGTTGCTTGACCTTGGCTTGAGAGAGGAGCCAGGCAGCCTTCCAGTGTGTGCTCGTATATTACAC